CATCTTGTTCTCCCCAAACTCCTCTTTCTCTTCTCTGTCACATCCCAGCTGTGGCCTATAGGCACTCACCACATTTAGCAGAACACCATCTATCTCCAGCTACAGATTCCTCATACTGTCTGTTATCCTCCTCACCTTCAACACATCTTTCACCACCACGCTGACACCATTCCCTGCTCCATTCTCCCTACGGAAGTACAGCTTGTAACCAGCATCCAGATCCCTCGCCTTTCTCCCTTTCCACTTTGTCTCCTGTAGACACAAAACATCCAGTTTTCTCCTCTCCATCACATCCACAATCTCTCTGCTCTTTCCTGTCATTTTTCCCACATTCTGTGTACCTATCCTCACATCCACCTCTTTCTTCATTTCTCTCTTTCTTCAAACACAGTTTCCACCTCTCCTGTTCTTTCTTGGTTGACCAAGTTGCAAGTTTTCTACTGCTACCCTGCTGGCCCACAGCAAGAGTGGCAGCCGTTTTAACTGTGGGCCCCTGACTGATCCAGTTTGGTATTCTGCTGCTTGTCATGCATCATTGATTTGGCTAGCTTTGCAAAGCTTGCCTGTTGTCACAACCCTGTGCATTTCTCCGGGCTTGGGACTGGCACCGATTCACAGTGGATTCTACATCCGGTGGCTGCATATATGTATATATGTATATATGTATGTATGTATGTGTGTGTGTATATATATGCATGTATGTATGTATGTATGTATATGTATGTATATGTATATATGTATGTATGTATGTATATGTATATATGTATGTATATATGTATATGTATATATGTATATATGTATATATGTATATATGTATATATGTATATATGTATATATGTATATATGTATATATGTATATATGTATATATGTATATATGTATATATGTATGTATGTATATGTATATATGTATATATGTATATATGTATATATGTATGTATGTATATGTATATATGTATGTATGTATGTATATGTATATATGTATATATGTATGTATGTATGTATGTATGTATGTATGTATGTATGTATATGTATATATGTATGTATGTATGTATGTATGTATATGTATATATGTATGTATGTATGTATGTATGTATGTATGTATGTATGTATGTATGTATGTATGTATATGTATATATGTATGTATGTATGTATGTATGTATGTATGTATGTATGTATGTATATGTATATATGTATATATGTATATATGTATATATGTATATATGTATATATGTATGTATGTATGTATGTATGTATGTATGTATGTATGTATGTATGTATGTATGTATGTATGTATGTATATGTATATATGTATATATGTATATATGTATATATGTATATATGTATATATGTATATATGTATATGTATATATGTATATATGTATGTATGTATGTATGTATGTATGTATGTATGTATATGTATATATGTATGTATGTATGTATGTATATGTATATATGTATATATGTATGTATGTATATGTATATATGTATATATGTATATATGTATATATGTATGTATGTATATGTATATATGTATGTATGTATATGTATATATGTATATATGTATGTATGTATGTATATGTATATATGTATGTATGTATATGTATATATGTATGTATGTATGTATGTATGTATATGTATATATGTATGTATGTATGTATGTATGTATGTATGTATGTATGTATGTATGTATATGTATATATGTATATATGTATGTATGTATATGTATATATGTATATATGTATATATGTATGTATGTATGTATATGTATATATGTATATATGTATATATGTATGTATGTATGTATGTATATGTATATATGTATATATGTATATATGTATGTATGTATATGTATATATGTATATATGTATATATGTATGTATGTATGTATGTATGTATGTATATGTATATATGTATATATGTATGTATGTATGTATGTATGTATGTATATGTATATATGTATGTATGTATGTATGTATGTATGTATGTATGTATATGTATATATGTATATATGTATATATGTATATATGTATATATGTATGTATGTATGTATATGTATATATGTATATATGTATATATGTATATATGTATGTATGTATATGTATATATGTATATATGTATATATGTATGTATGTATGTATGTATGTATGTATATGTATATATGTATATATGTATGTATGTATGTATATGTATATATGTATATATGTATATATGTATATATGTATGTATGTATATGTATATATGTATGTATGTATATGTATATATGTATATATGTATGTATGTATAATGTATATATGTATATATGTATATATGTATGTATGTATGTATATGTATATATGTATATATGTATATATGTATATATGTATGTATGTATGTATGTATGTATATGTATATATTAAAAATTTCACACTATACACATTCACATAGGCTATCCAATTTGGATATACAGGATGCCCCGCACCCTCCTGGGGCGTGATAAATGGCTGGTCTGGCTGTATCATGACTGATAATTAATGTGAATGTTTAACTTCATTTGAAAAATAGATTTTTTTCATTAACTGATAATAAGAATTCACATGCACCCCTGATTACATCAATCATGGCATATGTGATTGGCAAGTTTCAATTATAGCCTGATTTGCTTTTTGTTCAAACATTGGAGTGGGCCAGCTGGTAGGACTGCATCATGTTTGGTAATTAATAACAAAATGTGATTCATAATTAAAATAATAGCATCTACTTCACTTCCAGTCCACATTTTCAGCACTTCATTGTCCCTTTTCTCATGCACAGCTAAACAAAATAATATTAGCAAATGTGATCACAGTTTTAAATATTGTTATATTTTCTATTAATTTAGAAGCAAGGCTACCTGAGGGGCCAATTTCCTGCCACTGGTCACACAGCGGATCTGTGATTGTGACTTGGAGTTGAAGCTATAAGTTTCAAATTCTTGCACTAAGAAAACCACCTTTGTTCTACCACTGTTTTTCCTTTAATTTGATAATGATCCTGGAAATTATGATGATTTTGTATTTTATAAGCAATAGTTTTTTCTCAAATTGATTTCATTTGCTGCAAAAATGTGTGATGAGTAAAAAGTTCTATTAACATTTTTCATTGCTTCTTTTACTTGGAACAACTTGTTCTTATTTCATAACTATAGCCTCTCCTTTTCTGCAGTATTTTTTTTTTTACAAGAATATTTATGATTGTATAGAGGAATATTTGTATAACAAAAATTAACGCAGAATGAAAGGCACTAAAGTGCTTTCTATTGTGTGATATATGCTATCATGAGATATTATCAGCTTATGGGCAACACAGCAAGTTATTGACATGTTTGTCTAAGGTGCTAACAGAAGAGAACATAGCTCTCTATCTATATATATTGAATGGACTATACCATGCTCATGTGTGCAGATGTGTGCACAGACTTAAACCTATCTATTCACGCCCACAAAAACCTATGAACAAATTCTCGCACATACTTACACCAAGCAACCACTTACCTCACACACACCAAAACCCCCTCCTTAACATGAGTACATACAGCATGAACCGTCCCCTTTTCCACACTCCTCACAACCAACCCTCTCCAACTGACTGACTGACACAGACTGACCCGGAGCTTCTTGGCCAGGAAGAATGGCGTTTTGTAGGTGTCGATGGAGCAACTGGGGTAGAGGGCTTCCGGCACGCGTTGCAGCTTTTCCCTGCACGCCTCAAGCCACAGTGAGGATACGAGGTGCAGTCCACGTTTCTGGGCCCGGTTGAAGGTTGCCTGTTGGGATTGGGTGGGAAGTTAAGGTGCCCATCAGCCTCTTTCTGTTCAAATGTTGGTGCTTGTAATTTGCATCTTGAAACAGACAAGTAAGTACATCAGAATATCATCTAAACTCTCTCCCTTCCTCTCTCATCTAACCTAACCTTTATTTCTTCATCTATCTTCTGCCTCTCTTTCTTCACCAATCTTCTGCCTCCCTTTCTCCCCTCTCCTTCACTCCCTCCTTCCCTTCGTTTCCGTCCATCCTTACCTTGGAACCATCCTTGAAGATTACATGTGTGGTGTCTGGGCTCAGCCTGTCTCTCACTTCTGCCCCGAGGACCTTCAGCTGCTCCTTGATGACCTGCGACCGGTTGTCACTGCCCATCCGGACCTCCACATAGGCAATGACGCCTGACGGAAACAAATAAATAAACGCTACTAATTTTTTCCTCAGTAATATTACCCTCACTGGGGAAACTTATTAAGCTTGCTATCATCAATAATATACTTATCAAAACAAAAACATTATCAATATTAAAAGCACTAGAAAATCAACATTTTTTCACACAGAAATCAAGAATGGGGGAAATGAGGTGAGGTTACTTGAGGTTTACTAATCACCTCCTTGGTGACTGAATACTTTTGGAGCCGTCTCTGCAATGAAATTCATAAAAAAAAAAAAAACTGCAACAGACAGTACATTTACCCCAAATGGTGAGTAAGTGGATGAAGAAAAGAGAAAAAGGAGAATGATTTCTTTAAAAAGATTACATGAATTTCTAACATTTTTTTCTAACCTTTTTTGAAGTAGGCCTCTGAAGGTACACCGCAAATGATTTTATGTGGCCATATATTATGTAGTGATATAGCAAACAAACTCTCAAATGAATAAAATCAAAATATAAAATATGAATAACTAGTTTTAATACAATGGGAGAGAAATCTACTTGACACAATAAACTTATTTTGTATTTTTCTATTAATGCAAATAGCAGGTCCAAGTGGCACTAGTAACAAAGCCAAACTGAGCCAATATCTACCTCGCAGAATGACAGTCACATCTGGCTCTGTCGCTGCAGACTCCGATGCCTCTGACGGCTCCATCCAGTCCGTGTGCCTTCCTCCTGAATCACCCTTGCCTCCTGCAGCCTTCACCCCCCCTCCTGCCCCCCCTGCCTCCCCTGGGAGTTGGGCCTGGAGCAGCCTGAAGGAGCGCGTGCTGAAGTTCTGGAAGCTCATCCCTGCAACCCCACAGCCAACAGGCAGGGCCTGGGGTAGCGTCTCATCCATGGCGGTCGGCTGCGAGTCCAGGCCGGCAATGATGTTCTGGATGGAGGTCTCTTGGCTGGAGGTCTTAATGGGGGTCAAGTCCAGGTCCTCGCTGTCAAATATCTTGGTGGCATCACCGCTTCTGTTCTGGGCGTTCCGGCTGTTGTTGTTAATTCCACTATTTGCAGTGCCTTTCGAGACGGCATTCCTCTTAGTGCCACCTTCCTTTGAGTAGCTGCCTCTGGGCTCTGAGTTCTTCCTCTGAGTGTTGAAGACCACTTCATCCTCAGAGGAATCTGCACTCAAGGGGACAATGAGGCTCTTCCTCCTCCCTATGGCCCTTCCTGCCCTTGCAACCGAACGCCTCTTCTCGCTGCCCGGACATTCCACTCCCAGCCCCCCCACAGAACGTCTGGCCTTGCGCTCGCCCTCCTCAATGGTCCTCAGCTTGCTGGAGAGGGACTCTGAGTCATTCAGGTCAAAGGGCATGATCACGTGGGCTGCTGACTTCCTGCGTTTGCTCTTCTTAACAGGCGACACCACAAACAGGTCCAAGTCATCCCCCTCGGGCTGCTGCCCAACTGCCTGGATGCCCGAGAGCATGGAACTGTTCTTGGTCCGCTGGGATTTGAGTGAACGGGCAAAGGAGTCCTCCGACTCCAGGATAGACATGAGGTTCCTCCGCTTGCCCAGCTTGAGGTCGGGGGTAATATCTAGCACAGTCGAGTCATTAATCTCATCCCTGTCACTGCTGCTGTCTGGGGGGACCTCAGTGGCAGTGCTCCCGCCAACCAGGGCTTCCTTCTGGGTGTGGGACAGGCCCTGTGCCCCACATCCCACCTCATTCTCTGGGGTCTCCATCACTGATGTCATGGAGGGCATGGCAGTGCTGGGACGCGCACAGGTGAGGTTGGTGGGCGTCTCTGGCACGACAACTGAATCCACACTGGTGAGGCTCCTCTGGTTGAACAGGACAGAGTGCATGTCCTGCGACCGCCTCGTAGAGCCCTTCCCCCCCCTCTTCATGGCCTCCTTTTCTGAAGTTGGATGGGAGGCTAATGAGATGTTTGTCCTTAAGATAATATAATATGCAAATACTTTTTGATTTTCTCTATGTATTATCAATATACAATAATATATGAAATAATATACAAAAACTTATCATAGGTCAATGCAATAAGGGTCTTCAGTCTCCTGATCAGACTTCACCACTAACAACAGTATTAAAATCAAAGACTCTGTGCTGTGATCTGCCACCCAGCAGAACCTTGCTCTCACAGAACCTGCAGAGAGTATGTCATTACAGGAGAGAACCACCTGGTGTTCCCTGCAGCCTCCTCTTTTATTGCCATTCAGCAAAGGCCAACAAACCCCCACCAAAACTATCCTAACAAGATCAAGCTCGTAGACTAGCTGGTAGTCCCCCTGCATAATCTGCAGCAAGTGACAGTTCTTCACAGGTATGTTCTGGCATGAGGCAGCCTGCTCTGCTGCCGTATGACAATAAATTATTGGGACATCTATTTTCTCTGTCTTGCTAGAATGTGTTGGAGGTTTACTGACCTGTTACAGTGCACATAGGCTGGGATGCTTATTTGATAAATCCTTAAACTTTTGACCCAGTAAATAATAATATTGAGCACAGAAAGCAGGTAACCCCTCAATCGCTCTTCTAGGATACATCCGCAGTGATTCATGTGACTGCTAGGGCCTCCATGCCTTTGGCTCTCCTGCAACGGCAGACAGATTTGAGGAAGTTTTTGTTTGGTCTTATCTCATCATGATTATATATATTCTGCTTCACAACTTTTTCTTACGTTTCTACCTAAAAGTGAAAAATGTAAATGAAGCCTCACATCCCAAGCAAAATGACACAGAAGTCAGTCTCCTGTGAAGGGAAATGAATCTCTCAGGCTGTAGATACACCTATTTACTATGTCTCTACCTAGCTATCTACTTGCCAACTTCTCTTTCCATCTACTACTCTCTATATCTCAGAACCTTTCTATCTTTCCATCTATTAAGCTATCTCAATACAATTTCATCTTTGCATCTATCTATCGGAGAAAGATCTACCAACCAAGTCGATTCCTTTCCCTCTCCCGCGCGCAGCTTCTTTCCATCTCCCTATCAATCTCCCCCAGAAGCACATTTCCCTACACATTCACCCATAACACTGGCCGTGTTGCTGTCCACCTCACACTTGGGTAACTCGTAGGCCAATACGCTCACTGAGCTCCTTCCCAGGGAGTGCCTGCGGCTCCCTGGCTCGGGGCTGAGAAAGGAAGGTCTAGCTGAAGCCCTTTTCCTGGCCTAAACACATTATCTTTTTCCTCCCGCTCACCTCACGACGCCGCTCTCTCTCCCTGGTCGAAGGAAGGGTGAAAAGAGAGGAGAGCCGAGGGCGTCTCATGAAACATAAAGAAACTCGAGGAAAACACACTTGCTCCGATTTCAATTGGTG